TTTTTTTCTATATTCATAAAGTACAATAATTATGAATGATTATTTAAGAATATAGGGGTATAAATATAAAACAAAAGTTATTTAGAAAAATTAAATAAATAAAACAAAAGATTAATAGAATTTATATAATAACATAAAAAACCAATTGAATAGAGTATAAATTTAAATATTTTATTTCACAATTATTAATAAATATGATAAATACCATTGATTATAACTGATTAGGTCAGTCAAGATGCAATAAAAAATAATGAGCGTCTTTTGGAAAATTGTATTAATAGATATTTGGACGGATTTTGTTAAAAATAACTATAATAATAATTAAATATTTTTATATAATTTATGGAATGTCTAAACAAACAAAATATATCAAACTTCTCATTATTTTTTCACCTTTAACAATAATTAATATAAAATAGAAGGTTAAATACTTGCATGTATTGCACTAATCATCTTAACTAAACCTTATTACTTAACATGACTAGTAATATATCGTAATAAAAGGCACATAATACATTGTAATACTGTAGTCTGTAGTACATTTAGAATTAGATATAAATATAAATATAATAATATAAATACAAATATAATTATCTAAATAATAATTCGAAAAAAAAAAAAGGTTAACAAGACAAGAATATAATTTTTCAAATAAACGTATAATTTCTACTTAACTAAACTATTTAACAACRATACAATTATTCGACTATAAATAAATTATTACAGGATTATAATTCATTACAAATAGAGTCCATGAAGATTGGTGAGGGGTAATGTAAGCGTCATTTAAAACACTATAAATTAGTAAACCTTGGACATACATAATATCATGTGTATATATATATATATATATTTGGACGGATTATATAAATTAGTCTATTAGTTCCAACAAAGTTAGGTTTAATAACTATGATATTATAAAAATGAATGAATACATAGTTTGATCGTAGCTAGTTGGGATGACATTTAACCATTTACACATTTACATTGGTGGACTATGATGTAAACAATAAAAATAACATGTTATCTACAAAAAAAAGTATTCAGAACCCCATGCACATCACAAATATCGACTGATATAGACAAACAACAATCAGGAACTTGAGCTAATAAAACTAGTCAAACAATAATAAAATGTGAAAAATCATTTTTATGTTTTTCTTTGGTAAAACGTTCCAATCTTTTATAAGAAAAATAAAGACTAACTTTTTTAAATGACCTAATTTGTAGTTAGTTATTTAATGTTATATAAAAATATTAATGGTGTATCATTCCATTATTTAAAAAATGAAACAAAAAACAATAATAAAACTTTTGTCTCATTTTTAACAAATTGAAACAATATTCTTGTATAAAAATACATATTCTAAAATGTGCATTTACAAACCTGACAACCTAATTAATGTTAAAATTATTGTGAAAATGTAATGTTAGTTATTAGATGGCCATTTTTTCTTAAATATATTAAAAATAAGTATAGCAAACAATAGTATTTGAGGTGGCAAATATTGACAGTTGGTGATTTAAATGACTTCAAGAGATAAACGTTTTTTTATCAAATCAATCAGAATATCTAAATATTGCTGAGTACTATTGAGTGCTACTCTTGAATTTTGATGAGCAAACATACCGCCACTGCCAACAATTTGCTCAAGTTTTGTCATTACATCCGTAACATCTGCCTTAGTTATACGTCTATCACTGACATTGACACAATTGGTATGTTCCAAAATTCTGTCGGTTGTTTGAAACAATTGATCAGCCATCAAAGATAAATAATCTAAAAATTCAGTAAGTATAATTATATGAAAAAATGTATTATACTTAAAATTATACTCTTTAAGTTTTTTTGTTGGCCTATTGTTCCATTGTTTTTTGTTTTCATAGTCAAATCATTACTACGATTTCTAGACTTTTCAAATGGTTTAGTTGATGGACTCTTTAAATTCATTTCACTTACACTTCTGGTTAAAGAAGTATTGTTACGACTGTAAATAATTTAATGATAATTAAATTGAAACTATTCAATTAAGATAAAATAGATTGATTGTATAATGTATACCTGGGTACAATAGGATTTATTCTGGAATGTATGATTTGATTTCCTTTATTATTATGTAAAGACATGAAAAATTCTTCTGAGCTAGAATCTTCATTATGTCCAATAATATTAAGAGCAGCTGAAAATTAATTTAGAGTTAATAAATAATGTTTTTGTATAGTAATAGGATACTTTTTTACTTGTAGATTGTGAAGAAGTTGTGCTTCTTCTACGTAAAAGATTTGATTTATTCATAATAATTTTATTTTGTGATGATATTGTTGGTCTCATAGCTCGTATAGCTGTWGTGCTTTTCTTTCCACTATTGGTAGACTGACTGGCATCGCTCTCAGAATCACTCTAAATATTATATTTAATAAATTCATATATTTATGTTTAAACAATAAATATAACATGTTTAATTAATATACTTGATCCAAAATGCTGACAGAACTACTTCTATGCATATTGCTCACAGCTATTTTTTTTGAAAAACTTTTAGAATTTGTTTTTGAATTGTCCGAACCTTGTATCAAAAAAATACAAATTTATTAGCGGTTATTGTTTATAAATAAAATAATTAGTTAAAACTAGTTTGAAATCACTTACCACTCCCATTGAATGTATTATAAGATTGGCAATCTTTATTTGGTGTACTTGAAGACAAATCTATCAAAGAACATACTCTACGTATGGTACCAACTCCATTTGTTTGTGTATCAACTAAAAATATGAACATTAAATGAAATTTAGTAATCTAAATTTTAATATTAAAACGATATACAATAATTAAATCTAAGGTTAATTGAGAGATCACTGAAATCGTATATTGTACTTTTTCTATTTTAACATACAAAATAGCAAATTTTCAGAAMTAATTTTGTGTTGTTAATCCTTGAACTTATCAGTTTTTAAATGAGTTAAGACTCATAACTTATGAGCATTTTCAATTTAGAGTACATTACACATTTAATTTGCTAAACAATTTAACGATCCTAAAAAACCCACATACAAACACAGATAATATTGTTACCATCAAATTTCATATAGGTCGTTTTACTCTCGTTTTTCGTTTTTAAACAAAGCTATACGTGACYTGCTAAAGGCAAATTTGGTATGTTAAATAATTGTAAGACGAAACAAATTTAAGTATATGTAATATCTTCTTAATAATTTCTTTTCTTTTTTTAATGAAAAATTTATCATAGCGGCAAAT